CTGCTCTGCTGTCGCTATCTGTCGCACGACAACCAAATTAACAGTACATTGGCGGGAAGGTTCAGCCTTTACTACAACACCACCAACATCCAGCTCAGATGTTACATATTAACACAAAAAAACAGGAGGCATTATATAAGGAACGCACCACGTATTTTAACTTTTATAACACGTACTGTAATAGTGGCTTCTAACTGAATTGATGTAAAGGTGTCCCTCTGAAGATGGTCTCTAAAGACTGAAACATGTAAGGGCATGAATAATTGAAATAAGAAATTCTTAACCAGTCACATTGGATGGAATTGTTTAACTTTTTCATAACATATACAATTTAAGTGTTTATTTGCACTGGTGGAGGTCCGTGACTTATCCCTTACTGCCAAATTTATGTGAGATAGATATTGATGGAAAAGGTACACAACCTACAATCCATTTTCAAGATTCAAACCCATTATCCAGTGTGCACTAGAGCTAAGGCTGTGTGTGATCAGCAGAGAAGATTAAATGAGTCAGTGATACTAGTCCCTTGCGTATTCTTAAGCCACCAGGTTTGAGTCTTTGCAAGGACACCATGTTTTCTTAATCAAGTTTTACATATTTTCATACCCCTTCAAGGGGAATAGTAGGGCTGCACCATAGCTCAAGCGATCAGTCACTGGCTTCCCACCGTGGTGGCCCGGGTTCAATCCCATGTCTGGTCAAGTGGGATTTGTGGTGGACAAAGTGGTGCTAGGGCAGGTTTTCTCCGAGTACTTTGGTTTCCTCTGCCAATCTTCATTCCACCAATTGCTCCACAATCACCCTCATCTATCATCTGGGGCTGGTACAATAGGCCAGAAGTCGCCACAGTACAAGGACTTAGTCCCACCCCGCTAGCAATAAAAAAATGGGGGGAGGGATAGTAGGAAGCAGTCCATGAACACTTCCTCCAGAATTCTGTCTAGTCTCCTCTTCAGAATTGAAATATCCATTTCAGTTCATGCTGTATGATTATGGTAGACCCAGTTGAATGGACCTATAAAGTTGTTTAGTGAAAAGAGTGAGGCAGAATGGCTACCTGCAAAGTAAATATATACAACCAGGACAACCAGGATTTGAGTAGGGACATAAATGTTGTTCCCCTAATGTAACATGCTCTGTTATTGACAAACCAAATACACCACCTCAATCTACAGACCTTTCTTTATTTTTCCACATAATCTCCACTTCTTTGTACACATTTCTCCCAGCGTTCTGGAAGTTTGAAAATTCCCCTTCTGTAAAATTCTGTTCCA